ATTATCAATTACAATTTGTCAGTTCAAGATGGTCCCTATTCCCCTGCTTAAGTACTTCAACGTTCTGATTGTGGCTTGCCTGTTCTACAACAAAACAATAGCAAGAAGAAAGCAAAGACTCAGCCCAAAGACCCAAAAAAAAAAAAAAAAAAAAAAAACTATTTTGTCAACTATCGTCCAAGCTTGAGGCAGCAGGACTACTACTGGCCGAAGAAATGCTGCTGGATTGAGATAATTCGGCAAACACAACTATTCTTGATGACTACAGAACTCTGACTTGAATCTTCCTGCAACAAAACTATAGCACATTTGTTCCATACTTGTTGGCTTCTTCTAAAAATTTGGGATGCTATTGCTTTGAATTGAGGTTTCTTGACAAGTAAAACGCGACAGTTCCTTCCCAGTAGCTCTCTAGAATTCTGCAGCATTGCTATATATTCATGCGAATTAATTCATTGTCCAAATAGCTTTTGCTAGATCACATTTGTTGTATGCGGAGTTAATTCTTGATTTTGTCTTGCGTGCTCAAAGTGCAAGTTCAGGAACGATGGATGATGTTGCTCAAAAGAGTTAGAAGCAAATATGGAATTAATAGATCTGTGAAGCTTTCCCATGCGCCAACTTTGCAACCTTTTTACTCTCCCCTTCAATCTTCAAATTCAGCAGCCCTCTTTTGTTAAAAAAAAAAAAAAAAAAAAAAAAATCGAAGGAGAAAAATATCAACACGAAGAATAAAATTTTTGAAGCTATAATTTTCTTGATATAAATTGAGCATTATTTGTTATAACTGACGTATGTATGTCTTAATTAATTATGGGGTCAGAAGGTGAAATTTCCAGCTTTACCAGTTGCACCCATTGGCTTTGGCGGTTGTCTTCTTTCTTTGACGTATTAATAAGGTTGCTTAACAGTACTTTAGTTAAAAATTGCCTGTAATTTTTCCATTTGTCAACTGCTAAATTACTTCAATCCTATTAGTATAATAATAATAATAGTAATAAGATGCAGGTAGGAAAGGACATATTAATTCGCCTGCATGCCATTCTTGGTGTTGTTAATAATACTACCTAGGAGTACTCTACCAGAAAACATTAACAATTTTGAATGTATTTATAGCCAAAACTACTCATATAAAATTACTGACAATGAAAGCATGCAGCGAATATCTGGCATTAATTTTTGAGAACCATAACTGCTTTATTTGTTCATTGAGTGGTCATTTGCAATGCATGTGGTGTTAATTGCTCTATGCCGTGTTGTAAAACCTGAGAAACAGGGTTTGTTTGGATAGAGGATTATTTGCCAAAATTTATTTGCTTACATTATCATTATAATTTCCAACACACATTTTTATCTTTTCAATTATCTTTTTACCTCACATACATCACATCACATCACAAAAAGTGCTACAGTAAAAATATCTCAAATAATTTACAATCCAAATGAGTATTTATTGAGAGCCACAGTCAGTTTTCCTATTCTACGTACAAATGCAAGAACCCATATTGGTGGATTTTTTTTTTTATTGAGAACCTCATCTATTTTTCAATACATTCTACAAATGCAAGAGCCCATCACGGTGAGATCAATACAGATAAATAATCAACTAATTATACTCTAATAAACCACAAATATAATGGAATGAAAACTTTTAGTCGCTGAACCAAGATCTTTAGAACCTGTTTGGATTCTCACAATTTTTATTCAAAAAATATATATATTTTTATTTGATGCATATGAGATAAAAAATAACTGAAAAAAAAATTTTCTCCGGAAAAACAAAAATTGGATACTAAGCAAAGTAGCAATTACTCAATAGTAAATGTGTTCAATTTGAGAAATAAATATACATACAATACACAGGAGTAGTAACACAAGCAGGCAGGTCTCCCGGTGGCATCGCTGGAAAGGCTGAGTTAGGGAATCGGGTAACAGTAGCAGTCTTTTGTTTTAATGCTCGTGCGCTGTTAAAGCTTTCGCTGAGTTATGTTCGAGTCAGTGACTGAGACAGCAACGATAAAAGTGGGGGACACTGGACAGTGGCAGCTCCGTAATTAACTGGCCATCCCAGGGGTGAATTGAGTCGTCCATTCCTAGGCCTCGGATAGCCTTTTTGTTTGTGAGTAGATTGATATAGCTGTAGAAAACTACAAATACACACTCTTGTATCGTACTAGTACAAAAAAGTAGATAGATACATATACTGATATAGATATATATATATATAGAGAGAGAGAGAGAGAGAGAGAAAGGAATGTGTAGTAACGTAAGGATGTGGTGGCCGGTGGGGCACTCAGGCAGCGCCAAAGGCGCAGGCCATCCGATACTATCGACTTTTTCTCTGCAGTTTTTGCAGGGCATTTTATTCCACTCTCCATTTGCATGCGTGGGATAATACTCTTTTTGCATTGCAGTTTTGTTGCTTACACAGCCTTTTAAATTAAAAAAGGAATAATAAGACCCTAAAAAAAAAACCCTCTTGAGTTCAACAAAATTAGTTACTGTCGAAAAGACCCATCTATCAAGATTGATGGGGTTATGGATAGAGTTGAGTGGGAAAGACGAATGAATCATTTATAGGTGTAGATTATTGAAAAGTTAAGGAACAATTTGAGGACAGGAATTTTAAACAATGACAGTTTTTAAAATGAAATATTAATATGAAAGTACTTAGAAATCGCAAAAGTGTTATGTATTGTATATAAAAAATTGCAAGGTAAGAAAACCAATTAGCTAGAGGCATGTAAGCTAAATGATGATGATAGACAATAAATTTCAAATAATAGTGGTGTTATGTACGATAATCTCGTAAATTTAGAAACCAATATTGCTAGTGGTAATAAAATGTATGATAATATTACCTGCCAGAAATGTTACTTTTATGAAGTTTTATTGTATAGGAGATAAAAATGATTTTTATAGTTAATGTATAGAAGATCTAAAACAATAAAAGAATTTATTTAATAAAATATTGGTCCTTCTAAAATCTATAAAAATAAAAAAAAGTTGAAGTATTTCTTTTTTTTTTCCTTAAAAAATATGCATGCCTCGTGCTACTATGGATGAACAATTGAACTCCCAAAAAAATTATTGCTAGTTCATAACGTATTTCCATAGTTGAGGAGTACTTTTGATCTGATCCTAATCATTAGGATTTCCTTTTTCTTTTAATCATGACAAAAAAGGAAAAAAAAAGTGAATAATTGCAATCTCTCACACTGTTGGTTTTTTCTTTTTTTGCCATCCAACGGTACAAGCTAAAATGCAGTGGATTGTAAAACGTTATATTAATAATAATATTGTAATAAGAACTTCTGTAATATCCATCCAATAGATATTAATTATGTGTATATATATATATATATCATGATATATATATATTTTACCTTTGAATGCACACATTCACACCTAATGTATTCTCGTATTTCATCACTTTTTTTGACATTAAATTCACTTTTAAAAGAAAACTAACGCTTGAAATCCCTCATCTTAACAAGTACTCGCGCAGCTGCCTATGTCAGGCTCCCAGGGTAAAAGGCAAAACCAAAATGAGATGAATAACTAGCGTACGGTCGATTTATCATCCTCAAGAATATGAAATATGGGAAGAAACTAGAAAGTAGACGCGCAGCGCGGGGGGTAAAAGGATGGAAGGGTGGACATTGACAGTGACAAGACGGAGAGCAGACAGGGTGATGAGACTGGAGAGATAGTCTTGATAGATCATAGTAGCTGATAGCAGCAGCTGCAGCAGCACTAGTCCCGCTGCAGCAGGAGTACCAAGAGAGCGGACTCACTCAGGATTCTTGACTGCGTCTGCCATGCTGTGCTTGGGCATGCAGCAGCTTGGCCTCTCTCAGTCACGAGTCCTAACTACAACACCATCCCCACCCCTCCCGCTCACCCACCGTAGCAGTATAGTTGCAGCCAAAGTTTAGGGGGTCCATTTACATTGACAACTCCACCATCTGTCTCTCTCTCTCTCTCGGTCTATAACTAACTGTATTCATATTTATTTCTTATAATATATTTAATGTATCTCTGTACCCTTTGCCTGATTTGATATGATTTCTCATGCCCGTTACTGATTCCATTATAACTGTACATACCCCATATGTGTATATATAGTAGTAATAGATAGTCTTCCTGCCAAGGACCAACTAATTGAATCATTGACCACAATTTTTATCAAAAAATGGTTAGCTAAATTTATCCGTTTGGGTAAGGTTGGGCGATACAGTAAAAAAATCATAAGTAAGAGGTTCTACAAAAGAAGACTAACAACAATTGTTGGAGGGAGTGATTAAGATAAACTCACTAAACTTTTCAACCTTGTTGGAGGGAGTGTATTCCTATTCACATTGAGTGGGAGTGTTTAATGGCTCCAAATGTCAACTTTTTATGTCTCTCATCCCACTGAGTTAGAGGTAGCAGTAGACCACTCACAAATTACTATGCACAAATTAAGATGGTTAAGATTCAAAAAATGAGTTGTAGAACATCTTCTCTCTTCTTGAAAGGGAGGGAAAAAAAAAGCCAAAATCTGGTCTAGGCACAGGAATTGCATGAATTAAATTTCCAGAAACAATTGAGCTGTGCTCCAATTGCCATGGTAGCTGAATGAAAATGTGCCAACTAACAAATTTTTTTTTTATTTTGGACTGAAAATAAAAGCTGTATTTTTTTTTGAATGCAAATGGCAAATGCCCTTTTTGTTCTTTTGGAAGGAAAATGAATTCTTGGTGTTAGTGGATGGATTGCCTCACTTCCACAGTAAAAAATCACCAACTGGCTACTATTTCAAATATTTACGAAGAAAAATAAAGCTAAGGCAAAGCAAAGGTGAAGGCTTGAGGGGGATGGGCTGCGGGAGGCGAAGCGGGATGAGTGAGTGAGGAGAGTGGTGTGTGTGTGTGGGTTCTGTACTGTCTATTGTCTAATGCCTGTCCCCCCCACTCAACACAGTCTCTTTCCCTCTCTGTAGTCGAAAAGGGCACTATCACGTTGGCCTTTTTTGCCTTTTGTTTTCTGTGCTTCCTAAGCATTTGTCTATGTCTCCTACTTCTGCTTGCTTCCCCTTCTCAGAACTACTGCAAATGGGGGAGGAATCATACTTTGAATTTCTTGTTATTATTTGATACTACTTGTACCCTTTTTTTCTAATCTATCTTCTCAATCTTTTAGCTACCCTCTTCCACCCAAGACTCCTCTTCTCCCTCTTTGCCAAAAACATGAATTGAGTGAATTTCTTTCCCGTTCTTGCTTTAAGGCCACCTACTTTAAATATTGGGAAATTCTTGCCATGATTTGACTTCATTTCCTTTTTTTAATAACAAAAAGCTTTTAGCTTTGTGGATACTCTTTCAAGAACAAACTTGATTGCTCTCAAACCCGCAACTTTAATTGTCTTGCTTTTCTTTTTCTTTTTCCTTTTACATTTTCTTTGTTGAGGGTTAGTTTTGGCCCTTTTGGTTTCTTGTCCAGGTGTAATGCGATACTGAGAACAAACAAGGCACCGCTTGAGGCCTTTAATGGAAATTGATCTGAACCATGCAATAGTAGAGAGTAGTGAGGTGGAGAAGAATGCTAATGCATGCAGCTGTAACGGGGAATGTGACAAAGGTGGTTGTGGCTTTGGCTGTGTTTATTGCTCTTTGTCCACTTCCACCTCTTCGTGCTCTTCTAATGCTTCCTCCTCTAATCCTCCTCCTCCGTCGAAAATCTTCATGGAGCTCTGGTATGCCTGTGCTGGCCCTGTCACTAGCTTGCCCAAGAAAGGAAATGTGGTGGTCTACTTCCTCAAGGTCACCTGGAACAGGCTGCTTCTGTCTCTTCTTTTCCTGCTTTGGAAGTTTCTTCTTTTGATCTCCAACCACAGATCTTTTGCAAGGTTTTAGAGGTCGAGCTACTTGTAAGTAATCGGCTTCTGTCCTTTTTCTTGATTGAATCCCCTGTACTTTCTAATGAAAATCCCTCAACTTAAGGCCATTTCTGTTACTTTTATCTTATTGTTATCTTTTCATTCCTTTCCTTTTCTTGTTTGATAGAAAATTTGGTTTTCTAAATCTCCTGATGTAGGCTAATAAGGAGAATGACGAGGTCTACACACAGCTGACTCTGCTCCCTATATCAGAGGTATTACTCGGATTCAGTACATAGCTATATTGGTGTAAAGTTTTAATTATAACTAATCCTAAATGAATAGTGGGACAAAAAAATTTTGGTCTTGAATTTCATTTGCTGCAATGTTTTCTCCTTTTTTTTGTTGGTGATATTTCAGTTACTTCTTTTCATATCCTTTCAGGTGCTAGCCTTGCGTTCAGGGGGAAAAGACCATGAAGAGGCGGGGACCGAAGAAGTGCCAATAAAATCAACCTCTCATATGTTCTGCAAAACTCTTACTGCCTCTGATACCAGCACCCATGGTGGATTTTCTGTTCCTCGAAGAGCTGCCGAAGACTGTTTCCCACCTTTGGTCTGACTGAATTTTAGCTTTTATAGCATTTACTCTCTTTCAACGTTTTTAATTTTCATTAGCCGGCTGAATGTTTCTGTTAAATGTTGGTGCCACAATTTCTATGCCAGAATTATGAAGAGCCGCGGCCCTCTCAGGAACTTGTTGCCAGGGACATACATGGTGTGGAATGGAGATTTCGGCATATATATAGAGGTACAATTACTGGTTAAAGTACTCATGTGGCCTGAGAGATTCTTATTTAGTAATATTAGTTTGAAGATGTAATAATGCTTACTTTACAGGCCAGCCGAGGCGACATTTGCTTACAACTGGTTGGAGCATTTTTGTAAGCCAAAAGAATCTTGTATCCGGTGATGCAGTTCTCTTTCTCAGGTACATATTATATTGGTTGATATTGAATAGAGAATGGCTTATAAGTAAAGATAAAAGAAGAAGAAATTCAATGGAAGTTGGAATCATCTTGGAAGCATGCCAAGAGAAGATGAAAGAAAGCAAGGGAAAAGTACTACTAAGTTCTTTGAAATAGTAAGAATTGCAGAAAGTGCTAAAAAAATTAAGGAATTGTGGAAAACAAGCTTGAAGTAGATTTAGTCGAACCAGGAAAAATATACAGCTGAAAATTGTGAAAAAGTTAAACACATAAAGCAATGGCATAGATTTATGCACTTAATTTGTCAAAAGTCTTGGAATATACATTTCTTTTTCTGATTTCAATTTTTAAGAGATCTAAAGTTATATCGTGGGTGGTAGCCTGGACGTCCTTAATTTTTTTATACACTTCCAAGAGAAGATGACTGGGGGAAAGCAGTACTAAGTTCTTTGAAGTTGTAAGCACTGTGTTTTTTCTGGAAAACGAGCATGCAGTAGATTTAGTCAAACCAAAGAAAATATACAGTCTGAAATTCTGCAAAAGTAACATGTAGAGCAATGGCATATAGGCTATATACTTCCTTTGTCTAATCATCTTGGAATGTGCATTTCCTCCTCTCATTCGAACCTTTTAGTATCACGAAAGTATATTTTTGGCTGGTAACATGGATGTCCTTAACTTTCGTATGTGTTCAGGGGTGAAGGCGGGGACCTGAGGTTAGGAATAAGAAGAGCTTCTGGACTTCGAAATGGCCTCTCTGAGTTAGTTATTAAAAGCCAGAATGCTTATCCCAGAGTTCTTGCGCCAGTTGCAAATGCTGTCTCAAGCAATACTGCTTTCAAGATTTTCTACAGCACAAGGTACTTATAAGCTGATCATTATAACATTTTTGAAGGATTTGGTTTTGGCCTTTTACTTGACTGAAGAACAAGTATTCTTTCAAGCTTTATGGCTCATCTTTGTTTCTTATTGCTTTTCCTTGCAGTCCTGAACTCTCCCATATCTACAATGCCTTTTGCTAGTTTGCATAGTTTTGGTGGTTAATGACTTGTCTTCCCTTAAGCAGGGTCTGATTGTTTATGTTGATGGCTTTATGTTATTGCCTTTGCATGTATCATCTACCTATTGTTCTGATTATGGTAAGGGTGATGTTTAAAAGTGTGGTCGAAGCGATTCTTTTATAATGAGTTTGTTTGGATAGAGAGAATTTGGAAAAAAAAATTTTGCCTCACAAATCCCATTCACCTTTTTATCTTCCCAATCACCTTTTTATCTCACACACATCACATCACAAAAAGTGCTACAGTAAATATCTTAAATAAATCATCCAAACAAACTCTTATCCAAACAAACTCAATGTTTAAATGTCATTAATTTGTGAAATTCAAGAAGATAGGAGCTACCCCAATTTTGACTGATATTGGCATTGGATGAATTGGTAAGTGAAATCTTCCTCCCAATCTCCAAACCCATTGCCATTATCATACTGTCAGATTGACAATAGATGCATGAATAACCTCCACTTTAGCTTCCCTGCTGAGACTACATTGTAATGTCTCAGTCAAACTGATTCTGCGTTCAGAGACTTTTGAGCATGCCAAGTAACATTGCCTTGAGTCAAGATCTTATCTATTAAAAATGGAAATTTTATAAAGTAAATTCTTTTTCCATTAGTATCCAAGGAGGTGTTTGGAAATTAAGGATTGCATGTCGTCAAAAGGCCTTTTATGGTCATTTTCCTTGTTTGGTCATGCAGATGATATATGGAATTGAAGCCTTAATCAATTTTTCACCTCATATTAGAGGTTATAAAAGTTTTTAGGCCTTCGTATGTTTAGTTGTTGTTCGCCACTTCTCAATTATGTCTAGATTATCAACACATTCCATGTTTTGTCTGGTCTATTTCTGCAACTTGTATGGTAATCCTGAAACTTGTACCACTAGCCCTATTCTGAGCCAGTCCGTTATCAGATTTGGCTGTGCTTAAGACAGCAAACGAAGGCAGTCTACTGTTGTGACATCTGCTAGACCCATAGACGAGACTCTGTATGATTTTAAGGTCGTTGGAAGGTATATTATGTCCCAATGAGATGCATGATTGTTTTCTTATTTCAGACCATTTTGTTTGGATTCACCCTTCCCTTCTCTATCTTGCACCCGGAAATGATTGGGTCCACTTTCATCTTGTCTCAATCATCTTGATAAGAAAAGCAATGATATCTAAATATTCATTGTCATCAATCTGCATCTGGAAATTATTGAATGCTGCAAATATTAGGCATGCTAGTTTAATGTGATTCGCTTTGATATATTTCATAGTTACTACCCTCAAAATAACAAAATTTCATTGCAATGACTTAGAAACCATGTTCTCATGTCTATCGTTCTTAGAATTTTCTGGTGCATACTTCCTTTCCACTGTGCTCACTGGACCTAGATTCATGATAACGGCTATTGCATTTTAAGTTTGTACTAGTTGCAATTTTCAAGTTTTCTTTTACCCTTTTAAGAATTTTCGACTTCAAAATAAATCTTCATGTGTGACAACATGTCGAGTTATTTCTTACTTGGCTGCATTGTCCTATAAAAGTTAGTGGTTAAAGAACAAACTTTTCAAATTTGAATACCAATGCTTAATTATGTGTAGAGGTATGGAATTTATTACAGTTTGTTGCATTAGTCAATGGAAAACCTTCATAAATGTTCCCCATTTATTGCCTTGCAGAGCAAGTCATGCTGATTTTATTGTACCGTATCAAAAGTACGTGAAAAGCATCAATAACCAGATACCTGTTGGGACAAGATTCAAAATCAGCATTGATTTGGACAATGCTCCTGATAGAAGGTTTTCTATATGTCTAACAATCTATGGTCATATTAATTAGTTTTTACAAAAATAATTCCTCGTGAACAAATTTACTTATTCTTATAGGTACAGTGGTGTAGTGACTGGAGTTGGTGATGTTGATCCCCACAGATGGCCAAACTCAAAGTGGAGATGCTTAATGGTAAGGAAATCCTGATTTTCTTTATACATGAGCAGGCTCCTGTATTGGATTCATTCTTTTGTTTGTGGTTTCTCAAGTCCTAAATGGCTGGGTGCAATCGACATTCTACGCCGCTTGAATGCATTTACGCCCATTATCTTGTGTATTTTCACTACTCACAGTTTTATTCCGAGAGCCACCATTTGGTAGTTTTACAGACCATGTAATTTATGCGGTGATGCAAGACAATTGGTCATGATTACAATAAAGTCACATTTTCTCAGTCAGTAGTAAGATTTTTTGATGCTGAGGAGAATAAATATATATTAGTGCGATGGAAATTGACTATTAAAAGTTCATTTTGGTCCTTGTCATCTTTCTATAACAGCTGCCTATTCTACACATCTAATAGGTCAGGTGGGAAGAAGATGCTAGCAACCGTCATGAAAGAGTTTCTCCCTGGGAAATTGATTTTTCAGCTTCTTTTGCAAACATGACCATCCAGACTTCTCCCAGAATGAAGAAACTGCGCACCTGCATGCAAGCAGATGTGCAGAACAGCTCTAGAAATGGTGCTGATCTTCTATCCACCGATGCCATATACCAACAACGTTAGCGGGGCTAACAAAGCTGTTATGGCACCGCCTGTATGGAATGGTTATATTCCTGGTACAGACTTTCCCTATTTGAACACACTGCATTCTATTGCAATAGTGAAGCTTAGATGTCGAGTCTTTTGATTCTGGTTTCTTGTATTTAGCAGGTCAGGTTCCCCTTTGGGGCTTTGCGGAGTCTGCACGATCCGGTAAGGTCTTGCAAGGTCAAGAAAATTTAGGTTTAGCTTCACCTCTTTATGGCGGTGATAAGATAAACCGCCAGTTGGATTTTGAGATGCATTCTGTTGCACATCAACAATTTGTGTCAAATGGGATGGAGAAGGCAAACTACAGTGATTTTAGCAGAAGTCAGCCTTCCATCACCTACTCAGGCTCTATGGAAACAAATAGCTTTCCAAAGGTCTTGCAAGGTCAAGAAATTTGCTCACTTAAATCTCTAACTGGAAAAACTGAACTCAATCCTAGCGGCTGGAGAAAACCTGAGCTGGGCGGCAACATTTTGAACATAAATCAAAGATCCTTTCCCAGTTGTTATCCTTTAGCATCTGAAGGCATTAGAAACCTGGTTTTCCCGTACAATGGAGTCTATAAAGCTGGTCAAGATCCTGTCATGCTTTCCTATATGACCAATCGTGAGAGAGAAAACCATGTGCTAAACTCAAAGTCCTTCAGGGATGGGCTAACTAAGGAGGATGGAAGACATCTCTCTCTAGCAAATGAGTCAAAGGCATTCGAGAAGAAGTCTATTGTCCCCACTACAGGAACACCCTTGAACAATAAAAAAGACGACAACAAGGGAGCTGGATCTGTTTGTAAGCTATTTGGGGTTTCCCTGACTGAAGAAGCCCCTGCCTCAAGTTCACAGAGTTCTAGCAGGAGAAGTTGTACAAAGGTTAGTTTGAATAACTGTGAGTAAACTGTCCCAGAAAAAGGAGAGACTGCATACCCAGCATGTATGTATGTGTCTATACACACACATTGATGCAATCATGTTAATATTCATTTTATTGGTCAAAGGTTCACAAACAAGGCAATTTGGTGGGAAGAGCTATTGATCTGTCCAAACTGAAAAGTTATGATGACCTGCTGGTTGAGCTCGAGAAGCTGTTTAGCATGGAGGGAATGTTAAGGGAGCCTGGCAAGGGATGGCGTGTCCTGTATACTGACAGTGAGAAAGACATGATGGTTGTGGGAGATGATCCGTGGCCGTAAGTATGCTTTTCACAGACATCAAATTGTCTATTAAATATCCATGTTTGGCATAAAGTGGAAAAATTACAATCCGATGATAATTGACAGCTTAAGCCGCTTTACTTGGTGATGTATAGTTACTGTTTCTTTCATGTAAGATTGCTGCGATCCAAGTTGTCTAAACTTTATTTTTTGACCATTTTCAGTTGTGGTAGCATTTCTTCATGGCGAAAGTCAACAAGTTTTTGAGCTTTTCTACAGGACTGTTTTACTTTTTGACCATTTTCAGTTGTGGTAGCATTTCTTCATGGCGAAAGTCAACAAGTTTTTGAGCTTTTCTACCGGACTGTTTTGCATTTTGGGTTTTTCTTTCAGAATCACCGAAATAATCAGCGTCTCTTTTCACTTTCAGTGAGTTTTGTGACGTCGTGTCAAAGATCCACATATTAACCATAGAAGAAGTGCAGAAAATGTCCATTGGAGTGATCAGTGATGAGACTCGTAGTTGTTTGGAAGAATCACCAGCAGTAATGGATGGCTCCAAGTCTTCAGTTACTGCACCCTGATTCATCTCTAACAGTAGTCAGGACTTCAAATTCAGGGTGTTCGAGGTGATGCTGCTGATGTTTCTGGGCATCTGTCTGCCTATTAGCTGTTACCTAAGCATTTAACACCCTATGTATATATTCGTATTTCTGAAACTTTTCAAGTTGTCGTATGCTGTGCACGTACCCCTTAGAACTTGGTTGCCCATCAGTTCGCGTCTTTGTTGTCTTGTAAGTATACCATTAATCGAAACACCGGTGTGGTCTGTTTATGTCTATGAGTATCTGTTTGTTGAAGAACTTCAATGTCAAACCAGTGAATTGTTGTGTTTAACATGTCTATAGAGTGATATTAATAGTTCTGTAGAGATAACCAAAAGCTTGGTCTAGCGCTTCACTGATTAGTCAAAACTAACATACTTTTGATATGAGCATGCATATTACGGTGTCCCTAAACACCACAATATCTTTAGACGAACTGCATCCAGGCTGAAAAGGGGCAGCTGTGTATACTAGCTATGAGCTGGACGAGGTTTTAAACTGAATGGAACCTATCTATCATAGGTTGTTCATCATTGCCAGTAAAAGCCGAAAAGAAAGAACATGGATTAGGAACTCGTAGTAACTTGGGAGGTCAAGAGTGAATTAAGAAAGACTAATGAATATCAAGAAAGGTTTCTTATCTTAAATACATCTTCCACGGTTTACAAGTCTCCATTGAGGAAGCTAATTGCATTTTTCCTTCCGTAGCAGCAATCAGCAAGAGGGGTGGGTATTCAAGACTCTCCAGCGAGCCATGTCATGCTGCTCCAACCAAATCCAAGCAGCTGCTGCAACTAGGAGATCAAAAAAAGGGAGAGAGGTCGCAAATAGCTCAGGCCAACAATTTCAATTTTGAGCAATTTTCTTCTCAACTACTCTTTAAGGAGCTCGCGACCAATTATCATTCTTCTAATCTCACTGGTGCCTGCCCCAATCTCGTATAGTTTGGCATCCCGAAGAAGGCGTCCAGTCATATACTCATTGATGTATCCATTGCCACCAAGACACTGGATAGCCTGTACCATGAATGCAAAATCAATCATCAGAGTTCGTCTCTAACTTGCATCTGTTTCCACTCGTTCAAAATATAGAAGGGTTATATCTTCCCTTTCGGGCTAGGGACGGATATGGGACTTCACGTAACAAGTTTATTCATTCTCAGAAATCTGATACTTAAAACATCCACAAATAGGACGTCTAGAAAGTTAAAAGGGCTTAAAGAGATCAAATTCAATCAAAAAATGGTCGAAAAAATGACGTCGCAGTTTAATAGGACTAAATGGCTTCGATTTGCCAGAAACAATATCAGCAACTCTAGATCAAGAGAACTTGCTCTTAGAGATACTTTTTACCTGAAGAGCTACTTGAGTGGCTCTTTCAGCTGCACAGAGTATAACCCCAGCACAATCCTGACAACAAAATGTATGCACACACCGGAGACAGAGAGCCAGAATGTCAGAATTACAAGGTCATACGTACACACCCCAGAGCCAAGTCAAGAATGGGACTTAAATTTTGCATTACCTTGGGATCAATCTTTCCGTTGTCACAGTCTACTGCAACAGAATACACGTACGATCTGCAACATAAGTTCCAGAAGTCACGAATAGAAAGGACATTGAACAATGCAGTAATTAGTTAATATCTTACCTTGAAGACTGTAAGGATGTATACATGTCAGCAAGTTTCCCCTGCCAAATGTGAGATTGCACTATTAGCAATTTTTTTCCCCTTTACTTACTGGGAAAAAGGTTATCTAACAGGTTGCACAGTATTCCAGTTTGCATGGAAGCCTCCAGATATAATCATGATTAAGAATCAGTTCAGAACCTGTATAAATTGAAATTGGCCAATTGGTCGGCCAAATTGTTCTCTCTGTTGGACATATGGAAGTACAACATCAAGACAAGCCTGCATAAGTCCAAGAGGTCCACCTGCCAAAACCAGTCTCTCCAAATCTAGCCCAGACAACATAACATATACTCCTGCAGCAGAAGGAATGGCATTTACTGATCACTTCCTGCCTTCCATAAATTAGACAACAGACTTCAGGATAATCCTCAAATAAATCGCTTCCAATGAGCTGCTAAACTTTTATTCAGAGCCTTTTCCTTTTTACTGTTTTTAATATCAGAAACAGCTCGAACTGGGGTATGAGGAAAACCTTGATCCATTTTGATTCCAGGCAGCACTAAATACTGATGGTATCATAACCCAATAATAGGAGAAACTGTAATAATTCCCTAAGTAAATGAAGGTCAGAAAACTACAAAAATCACTGGCCTCTTTTCTGCGTCTTGGGTTAGTAACTGGGCAAGTGACAATGTGGACAATTTTGACCTTTAACATGTGCATCATGTCAGAGTACTTCAGCATGTATGTCGTATGAGTAAAAATTGAATTTTGGCGAATGCTGCCACATCTTAGTTAAAAAAGTTTTTAGTTTGGTAATTTATCCGAGAACCGTGCTTTTTCCAATATTTATAGTTTCTTACAATTCTTATATTCATCTTTTATTCTATTGACCACATTTTGTTTCAGTTTATATGATTCAAAAGCTCTAAACCCAAGCAGGTGATAACTCCATGGCCTCTAATTTACAGTTGAAATTTGGAAGCAGTAACATGTTGAAATCACAATTGGAAGTCGCCCATCATAAACGAACAGTTTAGCAGGCAGTTTTTATACCTTTTCCTTCTTGCCCTAGAACATTTTCTTCTGGAACAAAGCAATTTTCAAAAACGAGCTCACATCTGCAATTTTGTTGAATCTAATCATTAGGTCTATTGATCAGAGAAGAAATGAAAATTCACAGGAGGAAAATTATCTTGGCTTAAACAAACGTACGTATCACTCCCTCGCATTCCAAGTTTATCTAATTTTTGGGCTGTGCTGAACCTGCATTAAGGAAGCATAAATCATAAACATATGCTCTGATAGCAGTAAATTCTTTAAAACTAGGATTCTAATAAAGACATCTTATGCTAAGGACTATAGAGTTCAACAGCCCATGTCAAACTCTAAATCCTTTACTGAATCACTAAAAATATTAAAAATAGTTACAAAACTATCCATTTGCACGTCTGATAAACCAAATCATCTTCATTTCATGTTATTTGGTATTATAAAATGTTCATCTGCATTCTACTCCTTTCATAACATAAAGTAGAACAAAAGGATTTACACATCTAAGTCATCATCCAAAAAAGGAAAGCTAAAATGTCCTATACGTTCTTTTTTTCATAATCACAAAAATGGCATGTCATGAATGGTAGCAGAGTATCATTTTCCTACTAGTGCTCTATCATCTCAGTTAAAAGCTGAGACTAGGGAATACAACAGTGGCTATATACAAAAATCAGCTCAGGAATCTAAATGAAAGATAGTGTTGATGAGCCATACTTGTCACTTCAGATGACTAAGGAAATTTTCTAAAGCCATACTACAACATGTATGTTGATTCAGAAGAGACAAATTGCTACCTAATAACTTGCAAACTTAATAGTAGAACACATGTTATCTTAATTTGTAGTACCATGTATTATTTTTTTTAACTGAAACCAGGGAATAAAACAGTGGCTATATACAAAAATCAGCTCATCAATCTAAATGAAAGATAGTGTCAGTGAGCCATACTTGTCACTTCAGATGACTAAAGAAATTTTCCTAAAGCCATGGTACTAGATGTATGTTGATTCAGAAGAGACAAATTGCTACCTAATAACTTGCAAACTTCATAGAAGAACATGTCATGTTATCTTAATCTGTCGTGCATGTATTGGGTGCAAATTAGCATTTCTTTCCTCTTATAGAATACCATTAACAATAGATGCTTACCCGGGCATTTCCTTCTCGATGATAAATGCCGTGATTCCTTTTGAATTAGCAGCGATATCTGTTTTTGCATAGACAACCTAATCCAGTCCAATTATCAGTCCATCAAAAAAAAGGAAAGATACTTTCTTAAAAACAAAAGCAGAAGACATTAGAAGGAGGGGATAAACGAAAAGAATAGGACATGGTCATTTTTCAGAACAAGCCAAGTGTACTTTAGTACCAATCTAGGACATAGGTGAAGTTAAAGCCAACAAATTCAAAATATTGATAGGTGGATCTTTCAGCAACTATTTGTTAAGATGTCTTAAGAATCATGCCAAATTAAAATTTGAAAAGAAAGGTTGAAAAAAGTTTCTTCTTTTCATTGGTACTTGGTTTTTTCGCTCCTGCTAATAATGCAATTATTGATTTTATATACTCATTTACTCATTGAAGCCGAAAAAGGTAAAAGTGGAAGGAAAACATCTCATCCCTAGTCTTGCAGATCAAAAAACAGTGAGAGACCTAATGCCAAACATATTGAGAAGCAGTTTTCTAAACTAAGAGGCAAAAGCTGAGGACCTTTTTCACTCATACATCACTGGCAGTGGGTAACCTAATAACAGAACATAGCTACTTGAAGTATGACCATGCATTTGTTGTTTGCAAAAAGTGAATATTGTTCGATATCGCACAAGGTTAGAGAAAGATCATGGAGGGTATTCTTTTTATGCTAGATGGCAATAAAGACACAGTGATTAATAGGCAGGTTGAATAGGAGAACACAAAAGCATGCGCACTTGAATGGAAGATATGTGCAAGTGCATACCATTGAGCAGAAAATAGCACATAATAAAAAATGACTACATGCTACAATTGATGCCTTCAAGGTATAAGCCAAAATCATCTAGCAAGATCTGATACATGATATCTCTGAGCAGAAGCTTTATGACACTAAAAAGATAGAGTGCTGCAAGAAACTCCTATTTCTCAGCAAACAACAAGTATGCCTCTGATATTATGCCAACTTGGGAATACACCATCCATATGGTATGCACAGAAATTGCAATCTTTCCCATTCATGACGAGAATAATAGTCGAGAATACCAGCGTCTGAGCCACAGGGCCATTGGTGCACCACATCTTATTCCCATTTAGAATGTAACCTCCATTAACTCGATCAGCTCTACACTTCATGCTAATAACATCCGAACCAGCTGAATAAGGAAAGAGAAGGAATTATTCGCTGGACATAGTGATCTGTGATCATAGCTAACAGAAATAAAATGGTTTTACACAAGTTACCATTTGGCTCACTCATTGCAAGAGCTCCCACATGCTCCCCACTGATTAGCTTCAAAAAGTCAAGCCGCAGTTAAATTTAGAAAGTAATTTCTCCAGTCAGTACCAATAATACAAAGCTGTAAACTTGGAACTGATATATGAAAGAAATGAAAAAGAGGACACATAAAAGAAA